TCCTAGCACAGTTAAGACGGGCAACTCTTCACAGCAAGCTGAGACCCCTTTGGCCACTGCACCTCCTTCAACTGACTTACCAAGAATCATTTTCGATGCAGATCTTGGATTCGAACCACCAACCAGCGGATCCTAGCACAGTTAAGGCGGGCAACTCTTCACAGCAAACTGATACCCATTTTGCCACTGCATCTCCTTAAATTGACATACCAAGAATCATATTCGATGCAGATCTTGGATTCGAACTACCAAACAACGGATCCAACGGATCTCTGGGCCATGGTCAGTCAAGCGGAACACCCATTTTGTTCCAGTCCTCGTTGGACGTTTCCTACCAGTCATTCAGTACAATCACCTATATGGTACATGGTCGTTACAGAGAAAGGGGGGTCAACTTTCGAGACCATCACACAACAGATAGGCCTTTATGGAGGCGCAGCGATAACAGCAAAGTCTACACAGCTTATGAACACATGTCCTTCTCACGTCCCATTTATGACTTGACACATATTCCTACTTTTATATTTGTATACAAGGGACCACACTATGCATGCAATATGGACAAGAAGGGGTTTGGTAGGTGAAAACAATAATAAAACATACTCAACAACTAGGCGATGTTTACACCGTTGACACAGTAAACACTATGGACGCTGAAGGCGACGTTTCACGCCATTCACAAAACTGAGCCCTCATACCCAATAGACATAATAGAAAGATTCACCCTTATTCACTGAACACATGCTTGTGAAACGTGTAAGGGTCTTCATGGCCTGATTACTTGGAGTTTACTGGTAACTGCACAAACACTAGATATGAAATACGACCAGACAACGCCAATTGAATGCTCCATTGTGAATAAGATGAGATATTGCATTATGATGAGACACATGCCTGCGTTGACGTTAATTGTATATGCAGGTGCATGTTGCAGCGGAGCAATAACAACGTATTCATTATGTTGCAACATATTTAATTTCTTATTAACGTCCAGGTAACGATTTGAAATGTCTTTTATACTGTGGTCACGAAATATAAACCCACATGATGAGGAAATAGATTGACTTCATAACCGACTTAATTCAATATGGGGAACACACAGCCCATGAGATAGTGAAGATTTATGAGAATACTATCTGCACCAAACTGTCTGCTCCGTGGTTGAATTTCGTCGTACCCTTTGTTTGAAACTATCTTTTACAAATATGAACAATGGGTATTTTTCACGCTTTTTAAGTGTCATATTCCGAGTTGAGTGTATTCTTGACAGGCTGTATTTCTAAAAAAAAATACAAGTTTATATGTGAACGTATTTTCGCATTGTCATATTTCTAGAAGGACTACAATAGCAGCAGTGCATAGACCGTCATATAGACATCTGATTACCTGGAATTAATTTCACACACCTATCCTACTCATTATAGGTGTGTTAAAATAGACAGATGCTTTACGTACAGTTAAAAAATAGTTGTGTGTTTTTCATAAATATTCTGAACAGAGAAAGATATAAGCAATTTCAAAAGCTGACATGGCTCATGAATCGTTTGAGTAAAACTCTTTTCACGGTACAGCAGAATCGACTGTGTTGTGCAGGTAGGTGTGTGTTTTGAATTGACACGAAGTGGGCCACGCCTTATAAGGTGTGACTTTAAGTCGAACATACACCCATTGTCAAGGAAACGCCCACCGCACCCCGGTTCACAAACTCTGAACACTGCTTGACATAAATGAACTGTTTTATTAAAAGACGCATTCGTAAAGACATTTATCGAGGTGGAAACGCCTTGGATAATTTATGTGCGAGTATAGCCCAAGGGGTACTGCTTTGATATTTACTAGTATAATGACTGTGCTTTAAATAGTGTCGTGGTACTTGCGAAATAAACCTTTATGATGTCAATACAACGTCAACCAAAATCCTGCTGGGACACTAAATACAACTCACGCATATAGATGCATTTGTATATGAGTTAGAATATAAAATATGGAACTTTATGAATGAGCTCTTTTTATAGTTACCCTTGGGGCTATTCAGGGCTATTCTTTGCCCTACACTGGGTCAAGTGAATCAAGACGTCATCATTTACCAAACAAATTGTCCTTGACGTTCACGAACACGCACGAAGACAATCATAAACGTCATGCCTGTTTACCTAGTTGGAACTCATCAAAATATATAACGTCATCGCCTGAGCAGAATCAGTCTGGATTAGTCTAAATGCGAAGACTGAGTTAAGATATATTTAGCTGTTACTTTCATGGCGTTTACTAAATATGCTGATGGGAAAAACGTATGGACCACATCTATGTAACCGAAAATGGTCATTGCTTCGTCAATTTCGGTCAACGCCAGAGAATATCCACCGAAAGAGATTCAATTAGGCGTAAAAAGCAAAAGAGCGGTGACAATTATATGAATGGATCACTGAAAATCAGTGATGACACCAGGTGTTCGCAAAAGAGTTTAGCATGTCCTGCCTTACCGGTAAGATTTCTTATGACATAATGAAATGTTAGTATGTGCGTCACATCCATGCCAAACAGCCGCCGAAAACAGGGACGGCAAGTAACTCTGTGGTTCAAGCGTTCACCCACATGGGCACAGTCTGATGTCCATCTTGGTGTCCCCCGTCGTAATGTGGCTGGAATGTTGCTGAAGGTGGCGTCAAACATTACCCACCCCGTCGGGAAATAGCCAAAAACACTAAACTTGATAACCGTTCCATTACTTTTTTCCGTCAGTATACATGCAGTTGTAAAACGTGCAATGCAATGTTCATCCTTCTGTAAAGGTTATGGCATAATACACAAATGCAATATCAGTATTTTACATTTTCTTCGATAAGGCGTACTATTGGCTTGAAATCATTCAACACATCGGTCTAATATCTGCACATCGGTTCTGTCGAACTATGGGTTAAGTATGGTTTTACGCCGCCTTTAGCAATATTCCAACAACATTGTACCCAGGTGGGGATTCGAACCTGGGTCTTCGGCGTGATGAGTGAACGCTTTAACCACTAGGCTACCCACAACCTCCATAACAACGTGAGACGCGTATCAGTCACCGATGAGTATTAACGTCTGGTGTCGGGTGACTTATTGTAGCTCTCTGAGCTTAGAGGGCTGTCGTTGGTGTATACGCCTAGTTTTTGTGATTAGTGAGTGAGTAAGATTTAACGCCCCTTTTAGCAATATTCCAGCAATATCACAGCGGGGGACACTAGAAATCGACTTCACACATTGTACCCATGTCGGGAATCGAACCCGGTTCTTCGGCGCGACAAGCGAACGCTTTAACCACTAGTCTACCCCACCGCCTCCTTTTAGACTGTCATCAGTCAGTTTCATAATCTAGAGTACATCATTAAACAAATCCAGCAATAAAAAAAACTTTATCCCCTAATTCTTGGTTGAGGGGAAAATATTCATTTCTCTGCCGGACTATTTGTGATTAACCTTGATGCGGTAAGCCTCGGAGACAGTGAATACCCCGCGACCCGACCACACCCTGTCATGACTAACACTGCTACACTATATGATACAATGTTTACAACAAAAGCCTCCCCTCCTGCTGGTATAGTTTCCTCCATATCATGATAACTCACTGTGCGGCGTCAGACAACAACCAAACATACTTGAGTGAGTGGAGGGTGTTTACCCTTTTCGCGAACACCTGGCGTCATCATCCGATGCCATCACTGATTTTCAGTGATCCATTCACATCATTTTCACCGCTATTTTGGAATCTGTTTCGGTTGATAATCAAGGCTATTCTCCTTAATGTTTTTTCACAGTACAATTAAATTATTTGTGATATATTCCATTTTAGATTAATGTCGACAAGAAGTAAAATTCCAGTTTAAACCTTACTAAGTATACAGCACCGTATGCACAAACCTAGACTTATATTAAGTCCCTGGATTACTGTCCATGCATTCCTTAGTTTTCTTATCCTCATTCCATAGAATCTCTCTCGGGGCACGATCACCAAGGTCTCAACGCGATGCACTTCACCTGTCAACTGTACTGAACGCCCAAAATGCATTAATATTTTTATCCATAAACACTCCATTCCGGGCTAAAATATCAGGAACATCTACACATATAAAAAAAGACATTTCCCTGTACATTTATTCGTTAATCCGGAGGTATGATTATGTATCCGGGCCATTTAAGTGGAAACGGTACCTTAAGGAATAACGTCCAGTGTCCCATGTGTTGAAGACGTGCACTGATGAGGGGGCAGATGGAGACAAGAACGCTACCACAGATTGTGTTTATGGGTCACGCTGGTGAATAAACATTGACATCGATCATCATGACACCTCTTTAAATGCCAGTCGACATCAAATACATGATCGGCCCAAGTACATCATGCGCGTCAAGCAAAAAGGACACATTTTTAAAATACCAGTGTCGTTTTTTGGTCAAAAGCCATGTTGAAACTACACGGATAAGGATATCGAACGTCCGCTTTCTATATTAAATTAAAAGCAACAAAACCCTTCCCATATTCATAAGAAATCTTTGCCAAAAGCAGAGTCGTTTGTACGATTCCGACTATATCAGGAGCATGTGTTAATGAATCACTATGAAATAGCCATGATGCCAGGGGTTCGCGAAAAGGTGAGCGTATCATGTCCAACCGGTGGCATCTGTCACAAACACATGCAAAGGCAAGTCAAGTGTTCACCTGAAGAAAAACTGTCAAAACGCAATGTTGATTACATCGAATTAAAAGAACAATGTTATTATTTCAGGCTAGGGTATCGAAATGAGTGGTGTTGGTCGTGAGACTATAGAAAATGCAAAAAATTCCTCCTTTTTGAGGAATCGACAGTAATTGAAAACATCATATACACATTTCAGTTATACGTTTGTCTCTTCCTGAAACAATTATTTCATGAATTCAACGTAAATATATTGAGAAAATAAACACTGCGTTTTCACAGTTCTTCATTATACGTCATAAATAACGATAGAAAAGAAAAGACATATTTGCTGTAACAATATACATTTATTAATAAAATATACGTAATTCTGAATAGAACTCTTTGATTACAGGTGGGCTGAAAGAAATGACGTCATCATGACGTCATAATGCAAAACAGGCGGGAAGACCATTGGTTATTTGTGTATTACATAATCATATTACTGTTAACAATGTGTTCAATAAAATATTCAATATAATACTAATTATGTGACTATTTGAGAATATTACTTTATCAACAAATTGCCTAAAAGAAGTACGAATTGAACCACATACTGGGAAATGTCATACACTACAATAACAATAAAAACAATGTCCTGAAAAAAAGCATTATTAATTTGATCTAATACATAGATGGAGCTTAAAGTAGTAAGCAAGTCTTGTCTTCAGCTAGACCTTAGATACTACTCAAAAAAGTTATTAAATTTAAAACTTAAGGCCCGCCTGATTCTTTCATATTATTATAGTTATTTTTACCATCTTATTAATATAGTTATTTATATAACAGTTGTTTATTTATAGTAATATGAAAGAATCGGTGGTCCTTAACTTTTAACCTTAACATATTTTAAGTAGTACATACGTGTAGGTTACCGTAGACAAAAGGAGTATCATGGCATATATCAAAGGCCGCGACAACATCCCTATTAGGGATAATTGCCGTGCCTGCTTAGTGTTTTCTCGTAAACAAACACCATGCTAAATATAGAACGTTGTTCTGGCTTGTGCCCGTGTTTGTTGAATAAAAAAACCTATTTGGAACAAAACTAAGGTTTTTATTTCAAACTGACCTTTATTTTATATGATAGTTGTTGGGATTATCCTATTTGAAGAAAGAATGTATTTCTAGATTTCTAATGTGTGCATTATGGTAATCGACCTAGAGTTAGTACTACATCTACTTGTGTACCTGTCAGGTGTAGCAGATCTACCTGTGTACCTGTCAGGTGTAGCAGATCTACTTGTGTACCTGTCAGGTGTAGCAGATCTACTTGTGTACCTGTCAGGTGTAGCAGATCTACTTGTGTACCTGTCAAGTGTAGCAGATCTACTTGTGTACCTGTCAGGTGTAGCAGATCTACCTGTGTACCTGTCAAGTGTAGCAGATCAACCCGTGTACCTGTCAGGTGTAGCAGATCTACCTGTGCACCTGTCAGATGTAGCAGATCTACCTGTGTACCTAGCAGATGTAGCAGATCTACCTGTGTACCTGTCAGGTGTAGCAGATCTACTTGTGTACCTGTCAGGTGTAGCAGATCTACCTGTGTACCTGTCAGGTGTAGCAGATCTACCTGTGTACCTGTCAGGTGTAGCAAATCTACCTGTGTACCTGTCAGGTGTAAAATCTACTTGTGTACCTGTCAGGTGTAGCAGATCTACCTGTGTACCTGTCAAGTGTAGCAGATCTACTTGTGTACCTGTCAGGTGTAGCAGATCTACCTGTGTACCTGTCCGGTGTAGCAGATCTACTTGTGTACCTGTCAGGTGTAGCAGATCTACTTGTGTACCTGTCTGGTGTAGCAGATCTACCTGTGTACCTGTCCGGTGTAGCAGATCTACCTGTGTACCTGTCTGGTGTAGCAGATCTACCTGTGTACCTGTCAGGTGTAGCAGATCTATCTGTGTACCTGTCAGGTGTAGCAGATCTACCTGTATGCCTGAACAAGTAGAAGAGACATTCTGTGTGCCTATGTACCTGCTTAACTCTTGTATTCCAAGCAAAACCATTTAACAGCAAAACAAACCATTCAGAACCTTAAATAATAATATATTTCGTTGCGTTAGTGATTCACAAAATCAAATGTCAATTTTATCAAAACGAAATTTGCAACCACAGAAGAATGTTTCCAAATTAAAAGCAATATAAATATATTTCCGGAGTTTTTTTGGTTTTTTAAAAATTTAATAATAATTGAGTCGGGTGGAAGGTCATCAATTTTATCATTTTGCTTTTCGTATTTGAAAGGCCTAAACATGCTTCCATGAGAAATTGAACTGTTACAAAGTATAGGAACGCATAGGCAAGTTCAGGAACGCATGTAGCACACGTGGGCTTTTGCCATTAACCCACTTGGTGTCAGTACGAAGGATATTCACACATTGATCCGAAGTGTTAATATCAGCTTCCGATCTTTCAACTTAACATGAAACGTCGATTTGGTTCTATAGGGAGTTCCTGTACGTACAACAGAGCATAACAATGATTGATAACAGGTAATAATTCCGAGTCGATGTTGCATTATGAATTTTATCGACCGTATTCTACAGTGTGTTGCACATTGTATAACTTTCATCTAATAACGAAACTGGGAAGTTTCAATATAAACTGCCGGGAAAATGAGAATATATTTGATTGTGGTTTAAAAAAATGAAATAAACAAAAAATGGTTATTCGATGGTGATGTATTGGATACTGTTATAGCGGTTTGCTGACTGTTTTCAGCCTGGTAAGGTTTTGATAACGTTTGTTATGTTTTGGTCAAAATCATTTTTTAAGTGTATGCTTTTTTTGTTCTGCAGTTTACATCTGGTTTTAACCTATATAATATCAAAACAGTAGCTAAAATTCACGTGGTCGCTAATACAACAAAATCCCTTACTACATACGAAAACGAAACCGTTATTTGACCTGAATTAGTGTAATAAAAAAACATACATTAATAATAAATGTTTCCAAAACTTGATAAAATATTAACGAGTAGTAAATAAACTAGACATGTGATAGCATGTTTTGTTTAGCGTGGAATAAATTATTCAGAAGCCTTTGGCATACATTCTAATGGATCGTGACGGTACAAGGTCACAAATAGCATGCTAATGTGTGTGATCAGTAATGATCTTTGTTACAGCTCAAGAATTAGCCCCGGGGTGTTAAAGTATTACGCAATAACACGAACACAAAACCAGTTTACACAACAGCTCCCTATTGTAGACAGCTCCCAGTCAATTAGCAACCGTAATTAGTGTGTATGCACTGATTCCTGAATCGGTTTCCATGCGAAAAGATTAAACCGGATCGGGAATGATACCACAAAGTAGTTTAAATATGTTATAAGCCTGGCAAATCCTAAACTGCTTTGTGCATATTGTGTACACCGAGTAAAGGTATTAGCTTCAAAGGGGTAGTCAACCCGAATGGCCTTTTATCGTTAGACAAATATTATACAGATATATATATTCCACATTTTATATAAATATAAGTTTCGAAAAATGTAACTGAATATTGTATTTTCTCGCATTCAATGTTTGACGAGTTAGGAGAAAATCCGAAGAATGTTTGACTTGGCTGTCAAGTTTGCACTGTAAACGTGTTTGATGGAGATTCACAAAACCCGCCCTGGGGTGTAAGTTGAGCAGTGTTCAGTAAACACAGACCATACCCAATTGCTGTAGTTCGGTGCTAATCACTGCTAATGGAATTTTCAGAATTATTTTGTTTCTATACAGAGAGAGTGCCCACTAATATACTATATAAATCATTTACAAGTTTATGTACATAACGTAACGTTGTGACAGTGTTAGTAAACACGTAAGAGATAGCTATTGCGACAAAGTATTCAGTGTTTGGTAGCCCGTATGTGAAATCTTACAAAACTGACTGAACATTCCCTGCTGTTAATGGTCTATCTTGTAAGTGTCTTTATCGTTTCTATAACTACGATAGATTATGCTTTACCTCACAATATTGCCGATATATCGTACCTGCTTAAACGATGACCTGCAGCAATAGATGACGAGCATTAACATGTATGTACAAGAGCATTTCGTTTGCGTAACGGTAGATCTGATACTTTGTACATGAATGAGTATGACATTGTGTATAACATTTGCACATAGGGGTATATATCTCACGTTTAAAATAATGCTCGTGGTAGTTATTCTATTGTTTACATTTGTTGACCTTTCACCTGATGCGTCACCTCTCTAGTTGACCTTCACCCTTTACCTTTGACCTCTCCGAAAGCAAGCCTAAATGTCAGCTTGCTGTTTCATTAACATGTTTCTCACCAACTCAGGTAAAGGTCACTTTGCGCTGGAGGTCAAGTCGATCCTCACAAACATACACACTGTACCATCCTGCACCCTTCCCAGAATTCCTACACGTCATGCGCGTGTCGCCATCTTGCAAAATCCGCAGGCAGGTCACTCCAGTCTGCTTAAGCCGACGAAGACGGGTTCGAGTGGACACACATATATTCCAAATGACGTATTTTGAAATCATCCCCTAGTACATATGAAATTCGTCCTCCCCACGAACCCTTGAAGCCATATGTTCGTTGAGTGCATACGCAGACATACCCCCTTCATTGAGATGAGGATTCCTGCTTTGTGCTTCCAGGTTCTTGGAGAAGGCTCGTTCGCTCATATTCATATTTTCCTTCTTTCTGAAGTCTCGTGGCAGCCTTGGGTAGCTCCTGTCAAACATATTTGGATTCTCTGACATGTAACCACTATAACTGTCAGTGGAGTCACTGGGAATGCCATACACTCTCTTCTTACTCTTCTTCTCCTTCTTATTCTTCTTATTCTTCTTCCCCTTCTTCCCCTTGCCCTCTGGAGGAGGAACAGATCTTGCTCTGCCTTCTACGTACATTGGCATGTAGGGGTAACGCTGCGGGCCGTACATGTAGTACCCATGTTGTGGGGGTGGGGCAAAGCCGTTTGATGGGAATGCACCCAGGGGAGGGCGGTGACGAAGGTCGTAGTCCTCCCTGCGGCTAATCCTGGGTCCCCTGGGTCTAGACTCGTAATCTGTGGGTGGGGTTCTTGGTCTAGAACTGAGTTCGCTTGAAAGGTCGCCATTATCGCCGTTCATGGTTCTCTTGGGGAATGTTTCATCGTGGATGTTTCTTGGGGATGAAGAACGGGATGAGCCCGACCCTGACCCTGACGAATGTGACCCCCTTCTTTGGGGTCGTCGTTTGATGACGTAGGGTGCGTCAATGAAAACCGGCGGTGGTGGCATGAACACATGTGGATCCTGACGGGGGTACCCAGGGATCATCCTCGGGCGCATCAGGGTAGGGGGTGGGGAGAAGAACCTCCCTCTGCGAACAATTTGTGGGGGTGCAGCAATCACTGTAGGTGGAGGAGGTGGGACTGCTCTTATAGGTATGACCGGTGCGGGGCGTGGGTGGGGCAGGGTCATAGATGCCCCGGGGGGCATGGCAGCCACTGTGACGGGCTGACTGTAAACTGACCTCCGATCTCCAGCAGGTCTGCCTGCGAAGGGTGCATGAGAAGATGCGTTTAGAAAATCCCCTTCAACATCTGATACAGGATCTACGGTATATTTCTTTACCTTTGATGTTTTGGTGCTGTAGAAGTAGCCATGCTCTGGGGGGTTATCCATAAACTCGGGGGCAACTCCGTTGGTGGACACCGGTCGTCTCTCCCCCGAAATCAGTCTGACTGGGTAGTCCTGCATCCCTGATGATGATCGGAGAATAGTGTTGCTTTCAGGGCGAATCGTTGGGGTAACAATGTTCTCCGCCCCATACGACCGCGCCACTGGGTTGGGAACGTTCTCAACTCCAAAGGAAGGCGTTGGGGAGAGGACAGTACCATTTATCCTCGCTTTGCTCATTTTATCAGCCGTGGAAGTTTTCTGCACCAATTCCAAAGAGTCCCGTGCACTTTCACAAACAAAACCATGACACTCCAGAACCTTCTTGCCTTTAGTGCGACGCGTGATCGCTGTGAAAATCGCCGGCCTCCTAGAATTGGCACCACCTGCTGCGGGGGAGCTTAAAGAGACAAACTTAGCCACTTTTTCCCCTGTGGCTGTGTTGACGGTGTTGATACATCGGACAGCGGCACATAATGTCAAAGAAGTGATCGGGAACCAGATTATCGTCCCCGAGTCGTCGTCATTCAGCAACAACTGCAACCCCGTGGGCAAGACCGTCAGGGTGGATTTCATCCCATCAATCGTAGACCCCTCTTCTACCGGGTAGTGCTCCTTAAGGGGTTGTTGTATAGCTTCAAGTCCCTCCGATGTCTCCAGGGGGACGGAGCTGCCGATATACAAGACACTCTTCCGACACATCACTGTATCCTCGACCGGCATTTTGACCGTTTATGATCCAACAGTTACAAAATAAAATAAACCACAACACAGTGAGGTTTAAACGTCAACAGTTCAACCCTCCAATCAATGTCCCTTGTTTTCCACACGAAGTGTCACAGCAGAAAAGCTACAGCGGCGCTGTCAGTTTTGTGGCGTGTGTTCCGTTGGCTTCCCAATGAAGCGGGGAGCGAGGCTGTTGAAGGGAGTCCCTCTGAACTCTCGTAGCATTTGTGTAAGGGGAGGATCTAGTTACGGGAGCTGGCGTGATGTCCCGGTTAAGCACATTCTACACTTCCTGACTCATTCGGACAATACGCCCTCCACTGGCGAAGGAATACGTCCTGTTTTCTCGACGGTCGGCAGTACACTGTACGTCTCTCGCTCTCCACCTCAATCTGAAAACATCAATCGACGACAGCGTTCACTTGGTCAACTGTGTCGCACTGAGCAGCGGAGAAATTCCGGCACGGGAGCTTAACAGCGCGGACCCGCTCGTATGCTAATCTAGTGTTCAGAATGCATGACTTATTACGGGGTCTACCAATGAGAACCGGTTTGGCTGGTGACTATTTTCGTCAGCGGGCAACGTGGAGAGACGGTATCTCTGAAACCTCGTTTTCCTGCTAAATACCATACACACGTGTGAAGGAGAATCTCTGTAAAAGTTGCTTGTTAAATGACAGCTGAAATAAACCCAGGTGAATTAGATGGGTACCCAATCTCGACTTTCACAACCGTCGTTCGTCCTTTCTTGAGAAGACACACACATTCCATAACCGCTCACGCATGACATCTTATTGTGAATACCTCTATATTACGCTGGATTCCGTGCGCTTTGAATAAAGGAATAAAGTTTACGTTGCATATGACCTAGTTTACGTAGGTAAAAGCTGTAAGAGGTGAATTGATTATATCGACGATTAATGGAAATTGTCACGTGAGCCCGATGAAGCGAATACAATCGCACGGAGCATTTATAACCACGTCTTGTAGTATATTGGGCTTGGGTGTCGGGATCGATAAGCCATTATGGAAAAGACAACAATCGCTGTATTCAACGCCAGCACGCATGTAACGTGGCATGATATGTCATTACTGATACGATCCTATTGACAATACTACAATATAGCTTAATGTCAGCTGTTTGCAATTAGTATTAGTGGGTAGCAGTGTAAATATTATGATAACAGTGTATTCGTTCATTACATGTTCGTAACTTACCCAAGGGTCGTAAAATCATCGTTTATACCTCTCGAGGGACGGGTTGTGATTGTGGGTTCACAGTAAATGATCATGTTTCTTGGACAGTGAGTTGGGTATGACGCCGTTTTGAACATGTGTTTTTGTAGGGACGGGAACAATTGACTTGCCTTTGAATGTATTTGTGACGAATACCGGCGGGATACAGGATACGCTCACTTTTTACGATCACCTCGTGTTATTATTATTTGATTGTGATTCATATCCTTACGATACAGCAATTGGGATACGGTGGCATGCATCAACCAAGTCAGCGAGCCAGACCATCCGCTCCCGTTAGTAGCCTCCAACGATAAGCATGGGCTACTGCAGACCGATTCTAATCTGGATTTTCACGGGCACACAATATTACGTGGTACAATGCAACGTTGGAACTATACACCTGGGTATTGAGAAACAGACAACACTTGAAGATCATGTGACACGGACAATGCCGTTATATCGATCTACATTTAAACTTTGATGAATGATCAAGTTTGGTTGATAGGAATTTCATCATGTATGGGAAGACGTATAACACTGGTTTTGTTTTTTGTTTTTTTGGTTTGTTGTTTAACGCAGCACTCATCAATATTCCAGCTATATGACGCGGCTGTAAATAATCGAGTCTGAACCGGACAGCCCAGTGATTGACATCATGAGCATCGATCAACGCAATTGGGATACGATGACATGCATCAACCAAGTCAGCGACCCTGACCACCCGATCCTCTTAACGACAAGCATAGTCACCTTTTACGGCAAGGATGGGTTGTATAATACTGTTTGACATGAGGGATGACTTCAACTTTCCATCAGTTAATATGTCGAATAATGTTCCAGTAGTTCCAGCCTTTGGTTGCTATATTCCACATCTTTTGAGGTACAATCGAGCATGCTCTTTCTATGCAGATTTCAAAAGCGCAATATGACTCTTGCTCAAAGTTGTTTGGGCGGTCGGGTAGCCTAGTGGTTAAAGCGTTAGCTCGTCACGCCGAAGACCCGGGTTCGATTCCCGACATTGGTACAATGTGTGAAGCCCATTTCTGGTGTCCCCCGCCGTGATACTGCTGGAATATTGCTAAAAGCGGCGTAGAACCTCACTCACTCACTCAAAGTTGTTTGATCAGGGTTACAACATTCAAGGCCTTAGAACAACCTTAAAATTATTTTGATGGTAAACATGTAAAGGACACTACTAAATGTGACACATCAGTGACCAAAATGGTGTTTGATGCAATGCCCTATTTTGACTTGGTACAGGGTATATGATAGGTGCATGATAGATACAGATACACGATATATGCATGTGTATGATAGATTCAAGTAAACGGTATGTGCAGGTGTATGATAGATTCAAGTAGACGGTATGTGCAGGTGTATGATAGATTCAAGTAGACGGTATGTGCAGGTGTATGATAGATTCATGTAGACGGTATATGAAGGTGTATGATAGATGCAGTACACGGCACTGTAGGTGTATTATAGATGCAGTACACGGTACATGTAGGTGTATTATAGATGCAGTAAACGGTACATGTAGGTGTATTATATATACAGGTACACGATATATGCAGGTGTATTATAGATACAGGTACACGGTTTATGCAGGTGTATTATGGATACAGGTACACGGTATATGCAGGTGTATGATAGATACAGGTACACGGTATATGAGAGTGTAAGATAGATAAAGGTACAAGGTATATGCAGGTGTGTGATATATACAGGTACACGGTATATGAGAGTGTGTGATCGATAAATGTACACGGTATATGCAGGTGTATGATAGATTCATGTATACGGTATATGCAGGTGTATGATAGATAAAGGTACAAGGTATATGCAGGTGTGTGATAAATTCATGTATACGGTATATGCAATATTCCAGCTATATGACGGTGGTAGGTGTATGAAAGATACAGGTACACGGTATATGCAGGTGTGTGATAGACACAGGTACACGGTATATGCATGTGTATGATAATTACAGGTACACAGTATATGAAGTATGTGATAGATACAGGTACACGATATATGCATGTGTATGATAGATTCAGGTAGACGGTATATGCATGTGGACAAGGTAGACACAATTTTATGGATAACAACTTCTTTAATACCATTAAAAGCGACGTTTCGGTATTGATCTTTATACCGTTGTCAAGCAAGACTGAATGAGGGATATAGTACAGAATATATTTAGTAGGTGGAGGATTAACCCTAGAGGATCAACAGTTACAACAATTGCATACATGAGTGGGATAACATTGGTAGGTGTTTACAGCAAAGGGATGATGCTGTCACAACACGATGGACAGAGAACACATAGGTGGAGGCCAATAGGTACATGAAGCCAATAAACAGGATAAGTGATTATTGTTTGATGAGTTCATGGTAGGCGGATGGGATGAAATAGCCTTGATCTCTGTTGATTGATGGCTTGTGGCTGCTTCTGTTAGTTTTCTTTTAATGATCATGGAGGTTGTTGGCGAGGATTTGGACGTTGTCCCAGTTCATGTTGTGATTGGGACAGTTGCTGATATGGTCCGAGATGGCTGATTTGCTGTCGGATTAAATGCCGGAGGTTTTGTGCTCTTTCATTCTGGTGTTGATGGGGCGGGATGTTTCACCTATAAGATTATCGACAGTTGCAGTCAATTTTATAAACTACACCTTTAGGCTCTTGTGGTTTGGTTGTGTTCCTGCCGTTGGCTCTTAGCTGGGTGTTGAGGGAGTTGGAGCTGGTGAAGTGGGTGTCGATGTTGGCTTGCTGTTTGAGGAGGCGGCTGATGATGTGGGGGGCTTTTCCTATGAACGGGAGGGCGATGCGGAAGGGCGCTGATTCGGGTTTAAGGGTCGCAGGTCTGGGTGTGGGAAGGAGTACAGAGGCGATGACTTTGTCGACGAGATTGGGTGGATAGTTGTTGAGGTGGGTGAAGACTTGGCGGAGGTGAGCGATCTCAGGTTTGGGGTCAGCAGAGGAAAGGTTGATGGCTCGTTTGGTGAGGGTGGAGATGATGCCAGTCTTGGTTCTAAGAGGGTGGTTAGAGTTGAAGTGGATATACTGGTCGGTGTGGGTGGGCTTCCGGTAGATACTGGTTTGGATTCTGTTTGTTCTGTCCTCTACTGTTAATCCTCCACCTACTATATATATATATTCTGTACTATGTCCCTCATTCAGTCTTGCTTGACAACGGTATAAGGATCTATACCGAAACGTCGCTTTTCACAGTATTAAAGAAGTTGTTATCCATAAAATTGTGTCTACCTTGTCATCCGTCAACTTCTAAGTAATGCCTATCAAACAAGGTAAATGCATGTGTATGATAGCTTCTTGTAGACGGTATACGTAGGTGTATGATAGATACAGGCACACGGTATATGCAGGTGTATTATAGATACATGTACAAGTATATGCAGGTGTATGATAGATACATGTACACGGTATATGCAGGTGTATGATAGTTACAGGTACACGGTATATGCAGGTGTATGATAGATTCATGTAGACGATATATGCAGGTGTATGATAGATACAGGTACACGATATATGCAGGTGTATGATAGATACATGTACACGGTGTATGCAGGTGTATGATAGATACATGTACACGGTATATGCAGGTGTATAATAGATACATGTACAAGTATATGCAGGTGTATGATAGAAACATGTACAAGTATATGCAGGTGTATGATAGATACATGTACATGATACATGCAGGTGTATGATAGATACAGGTTCACGGTATGTGCATGTGTATGATAGATACATGTAGACGATATATGCAGGTGTATGGTAGATACAGGTACACGGTATATGCAGGTGTATGATAGATTCATGTAGACAGGTATATGCAGGTGTATGATGGATACGGGTACACGGGATATGCAGGTGTATGATAGATTCATGTAGACGATATATGCAGGTGTATGATAGATACAGGTACACGGTATATGCATGTGTATGATAGATACAAGTACACGGTATATGCAGCTGTATGATAGATTCATGTAGACGATATATGCAGATGTATGATAGATACAGGTACACGGTATGTGCAGGTGTATGATAGATTCATGTAGACGATATATGCAGGTGTATGATAGATACAGGTACACGATATATGCAGGTGTATGATAGATACATGTACACGGTATATGCAGGTGTATGATAGATACATGTACACGGTATATGCAGGTGTATAATAGATACATGTACAAGTATATGCAGGTGTATGATAGAAACATGTACAAGTATATGCAGGTGTATGATAGATACATGTACATGATACATGCAGGTGTATGATAGATACAGGTTCACGGTATGTGCATGTGTATGATAGATTCATGTAGACGATATATGCAGGTGTATGGTAGATACAGGTACACGGTATATGCATGTGTATGATAGATTCATGTAGACGATATATGCAGGTGTATGATAGATACAGGTA